ATTATTATTATTATTATTATTATTATTATTATTATTATTATTATTATTATTATTTAGATGTGAACCTCAGTCAACTGAACATTCAAATTGACTGGCACTAATGATCCTAGGTATCAACCAGGTACCTTCTTAAAATGTAAGATGTTCCGAGTAGTGCAGTTTTTTGCTGGAGTTATTGCAGGAAGCTGCAGTTTCTTGAAATATTTTGCAAAGTTTTGGACATAGTTCTCAGTGCCCCAATGACAATGAGTATCACTGTTACACATTTCATCCATTACTATTATTACTACTACTACTACTACTACTACTACTACTACTACTACTATTATTATTATTATTATTATTATTATTATTATTATTATTATTATTATTATTATTATTATTATTATTATTATTATTATTATTATTATGGATCATCGCACAGTCAGCCAGATGTTCAGACTGGATTTGGCATTTTGTCTACCTATCAAATCCTTACCAAAGACCTGGGATAGGCAGATGTGGATGTTTGATGTTATTACAGATATCGTTGCAGGATGGAGGCGGTTGTTGTTGTTGTTGTTATTATTATTATTAAAATATTTCTTCATTAAATTATGCTCATAATTAAAAGTTGTGAGCATTTTTGAGGATTCATTTCTTTTATACAAAAGTGGTCATTCTCATAGAATGTCCAGTTTTCTTAAATTCAAATTGTAGGGGGCTATTTTATATACTAATTATACAATTAACTTGCAGATTAACAACTCAGTGATGATGTCTACTTCTATATCCGTTGTAGGCTTATGTTACAAGTCACAATGATGTCAAAATGATGCAGTAATTTGTACCAGCGGCCTCAAGACATCACATACACACACAAAACACATACTCCGGAGGCCCATGGATACTTACCATACAATAGTGCTTTAGTGGAGAAGAAAGATAATGCCTTCACAGCATTCAGAACCCATTGTGTATTTTTGCAAAATTTCTAGATTGAAGTCTTCTGTATTATTCATCACTTCAAAAGAAAGCATTGTAATATAACAGTGCTATAAAGAGTCCTATGTCTACAAGTTCATAGGTGATATTAACAGGTAATCTCTATGTTACTTCCTTCTGTCTCTCTAGTTGTCTGTGTAATAAGAATGCAGTGTGACTGTTGTCGCAGAGGACAATTGGGAAGTATCTTAAACAGACCAGACCACTAAAACCTGTGGTGTGGTTGGCAATTTTTAATGTAAACATGCCAGAATTATTACTGTTTTCCTTTGATTATGGGCTTTTCTTTCTGCTCCATCTTTCCCCATTGCAGGCCCTTGGGATGCTGTTTTGGCACAAACATAACATCGAGAAATCTCTGGCAGATTTACCCAATTTCACCCCCTTCCCAGATGAATGGACGGTTGAAGACAAAGTATTGTTTGAACAAGCTTTCAGCTTCCATGGGAAAACTTTTCATCGAATTCAGCAAATGGTAAGGATGGTCATGTGCAACAGATTGCAAATGCAAAGTTCTTGACTTAAAAACAAATGAGGGAGTTAACATGTATTTTAATGATTAGTTTTTATTATCCAAATACATGTATCATCATTTTATCCTTGTTTATTATTTACAAAGTTCAGTATGCAACCACCCAATATTGATGATAGCCAGGAAAAAGAATGGATTGAGTGAATTTTGGAGATGATATTAGAAACTTTTCATTGTACAGAATAAATAGTATCTGCATATTAGCACTATAAAGGACCAGTTCATTATCATTTTTTTTAGATCTTTAACAGAGGGAAAATAATGTCAAATTATTTTTTCATTTTTGTAAAATCGACAGTACATGCAGCCTTTTGCAGTAATGGTCTGTCAAAATATTCCACACTTTCTGAATATAGCTCCATACATGTTTGTATATCTGAAAACCTTAGCAACAGGCCAGATTTAAGCAATTTTTGAAATAAAACTCAAAGAGAAGGTGGTAGAAGTATGAGATGTTTAAATATCAGTTTTACTTGCATTTAAACCTACCTTCATTATCTGAGTGACACAAACACTGAAAACATTCTTTTTCCTCCAGAGTTGTTTTTCTGTGAAGATATTTTAAAGAATAAAATTTTTATATTGATAATCACTGGAGTTAAGGGGCACACATGTAACTGCAAGCTGTTAATTGGATGAAATAACCATTTTTCCTCTTTTTGTGGCCAAGACTTCCAATTTAGTAGCCTGCCTTTAAGAATTTTTTCCAGTCCTTCAAACCAGCAAATTGGTTTGTTCTGGGTTATTGAATGTTTTAAAGAGTTAAAGAATTGCGCTTCTGATATCCATAAAACGGTCTCATTGAAGACTAAGCTGTCCCTTTTTTTTGAGGATAATTTGATTTGAATATCTGTGTGAAGTTGGATTCCATGGTCTAAATTACCCCTTCCATCCCTTGATTCTATGACGTGATCTATGATTCTGCTGCTGATTTGCTTTCTGATAGCATAAAACCAGTCCTTTAACAGGCAGGAAATAATCTTATGGCATAAAATATTTTTGTTATAAGACTTAGGGCTAGCTATGTAGACTGTTTATGAAAAAAATGCTGTTATTGGAAGAAAAGGAATGTCTTATGGTCACTAGTATTTTTCTTTCCCAGTAAAAAGATTCTGGACAAGCAAATAATAATTGAATTCAGTCAGTCCTCCAAATAATAATAATAATAATAATAATAATAATAATAATAATAATAGTAGTAGTAGTAGTAGTAGTAGTAGTAGTAGTAGTAGTAGTAGTAGTAGTAAAGTTGGAAGGGATCTTGGAGGTCATCTAGTCCAACCCCCTGCTCAGGGAGGAAACCCTATACCATTTTGGACAAATGGCTGTCCAGTCTCTTCTTAAAAACTTCCAGTGTTGAAGCATTCACCGATTCTGGAGGCAAGTTGTTCCACTGGTTAATTGTTCTAACTGTCAGGAAGTTTCTCCTTAGTTCTAGGTTGCTTTTTTCCTTGTTTAGTTTCCACCCGTTGCTTCTTGTCACGCCTTCAGGCGCCTTGGAAAACAGTTTGACTCCCTCTTCTTTGTGGCAGCCCCTGAGATATTGGAACACTGCTATCATGTCCCCCCTCATCCTTCTCTTCATTAAACTAGACATACCTAGTTCCAGCAGCCGTTCCTTATATGCTTTAGCCTCCAGTCCCCTAATCATCTTTGTTGCTCTTCTCTGTACTCTTTCTAGAGTCTCAACATCTTTTTTACATCGTGGTGACCAAAACTGGATGCAGTATTCCAAGTGTGGCCTTACCAAGGCATTGTAGAGTGGTATTAACACTTCACATAATCTTGATTCTATCCCTCTGTTAATGCAGCCTAGCACTGTGTTGGCCTTTTTGGCAGCTGCAGCACACTGCTGGCTCATATTTAGGTGATTGTCCACTAGGACTCCGAGGTCCCTCTCACATTTATATTTATATTTATATTTATATTTGAATTTATATCCCGCCCTTCTCCCGTAGGACTCAGGGCGGCTGACAATCTATTTAAAATACATACAAAACAATACAAATTTAAAATTAATTAAAAAGAATATTAAATATTTGTCGAATTTAAAATATAATTAAAACCCCCCTAAAAATTACCCTAGGCCAGTCCTGCAAGCTGGAATAACCA